GCACCACCTAAGATCTAGGAGCATCTGCCATCTACGGTAGTATGTTGAAGCTAGGGTATCTCTAACTGAGCTGACTCCGTAGCTTATTCCCAACCATCTTGCCTGAACCCAGGCCCTGCCCTGTTATAAGTGTGCGTGTGCTTATAAGGAGTCAAGGTGAGGAGTGGCCGGTTGAGGCAGAGAGGGGGGCGTTTTGCACAAGGGTTCAGGGTGAGGAGGGCTGGATGAGGGAGGTCAAGCTAGCGTGGCGAACCAACCACGCTCGAGCTGTTCTCGAGGAGCGGTGGCTGCGGGGCGTGCGGGGCGAGAAGGAAGGCGCACGCGGGGAGGAGGAGGTGTGCGGAGAGGAGGAGCAACGGGGAGAGGCGGAGGCGGGGGGGGAATGCGCGTAATACGAAGAATGCGAGAAATGTGAGGAATGGGAGGAATGGGAGGAATGTGGGGAGTGTGAGTATGGGAAGGTAGCACGAGGGGAGACGGCTGCAAGCGCGGAAGCAGCAGCAGGGCAGAATGAGTCGCTGCTGGTAACGGTGTCAATCCGTGCCCATCTGTTGCTTTTCGGTGGCTTACACCTGGTCAATCCACTGCCCTGACAGATTCCGCCATTGCTGCTGCCGCCGTTGCTGCCGCTGCAGCCGCCACTGCTGCAACGGAAGCTGCTGATACTGCAAGCGAGGTTGCTTTCTGAGGCGTGGCCCTGGCAATGGCAGTGGCAGTGGCAGTGGCAATGGTTATTGACACTGCAGCTGCTGCAGCTGCTGCCGTGATTGTACCTGGTGCTGCTTGTAGCGCTGCTGTAGCTGCTGCAGCTGCTGATGCTGCTGATGCTCCTCCCAAAGCTGCTGGTGGTGGCTGAAACAGCCGACAGTAGACTACTCGTGCTGGTACTGCTGGGGATTCCGCTGTTGCTGACGCCACCGCCGCCGCCACCGCCGCCGCGACGGCCGCTGCTGCTGCTGAATGAGGACCGAGGATGAAACGAGGAGGTGGGGCAGGACTGGGAGAGAAGCAAGTAGGACGGAGAGACTAGGCTCCTGTTAGTAGCCGACACGATAGGTCGCCTGCGGCTCCACCCCGCTGTTTCTTCCCCAGACGTGCCGTTCTCCTCGTCCTCCTCTTCCCCTTCCTCCTCGTCTTCTTCCTCCTCCCGTTCATCCTCCTCTTCCTCCTCGTCGTCACCGTCGCCGTCGTCGTCTCTCTCGTCTCTCGCCTTCTCACCACAGCCGTGGTAGCTTCTCGCCGCCGCGCCCTCGCCGCCGCCGCCGCAATCTTCGCTGCGGCGCCTCGGCGTACGCGGAAGTGGCTTCCTGGAAAGCTCGAACGACCAGCGACGTTGGGAGGGGCTCTTTAAAGTGTGAAGAGGAGGTGGATACAGGAGGGGAACGTCCCACGCGCCTCGCGGAATCTCCAGAGCATGATGGCTCACGCTTCGACTGATAGTCTTACCAGTGGTCTTACCAGTAGTCTTACTGCCAGTAAGAAAATTGTTACCAGTGGTAACATTCCTCGGGAATGGCTTTGTTGCGAACGAGTTGGTACGATAGTCGTTATCTGCCCCTGCCGCCGCAACCGCCGCCGCCGCTGCCGCCGATACCCTAGGAGACGTCGAGGCCTTCTCGGACGAGGTTTCTGCAGCGTAATGACCCCAAGCGTCCATTCCACTGCGGCTCGCGCTCCGCAGCACCATCGATAACCTCGCGCCGCGGGGCGGCGCTACAGTGGGAGGCGCCGCAGACGGCGGCTCGGAGACGGATGTCAACGAAGAGTTTGACGACGAAGGCGACAACGACGACGACGACGGCGACGGTGACGGTGACGATGACGGCGACGGTGGCGGCGACGGCAACGATTGGTCCATGGAGGATTCGAGCATATGCATAAACTGCTCGCACCGCACCGCGCTGAGCTGGCGCTGCGTCTCTAGCAGCTGCAGTTTGCCCTCGAGCGCGCGAATCTCCACGTCCTCGAGCGTCTTGCGGATCGCGCGCGACGCCACTAGCCCGTCGGGACCTCCAGCGGCGGCGGCGCCGGCGGATGCGGCGGCAGCGGCGGCAGAAGCAGTGCCGTGGATGTGTCGATCGCAGGAAACGGGCGGGGGCATGCTAAGTACGGGCTCCGAGCCGCGGTACTCCATACTAGCTGATCTCTGAGAATTTAGGGAAGCAAAACACGCACGACGACGCGGAACGAGCGCTGTACGGTCGAACGGGACTGAGACCGAGTCGGCCGGTGACGATGAATGACGAAGGGGGATCTACCGGCAAAACTCTTCCGAATCCGGAATGTAGGGAATGGCGCACAAGAGAAGATAGTTTGAGAAGAATGCGGCGTTGCTGGTGCTTGTGCCGTGAAGGTGATCAGGAGCGGATGGCCAAACGCAGGAGCAACGGCAGTGATGTGGGAGACGTGTGATGCGAAGCCTAGCTGACTAATCTCTCTTATGAGCCTCGCTTACTTCTATTGCTAGGGTCCAGTCCGAGAGTCGCTGGTGGTCGGATGAATCTAACAAAATGGGCGTTGCACGCTTCAGATCACCTTTGTAGGCCCTGGCATTCACACTGGTAGCAGTACAACCAGCTTTCTGCTAAAAAGCAAGGTCGACAAGGTCGCTGGGACTGAAGTCGAGGCTGCGATCAGGTTCGGTGTAAGGCAAGGGCGGGGATCAGTTGCCCTGCCGTACTGTTTGTTGGCCTATGGGGGGCGACGAGTGAAAAAGCAGGGGCGAGGCGAGCGACTCAATGCCGACACGGCCGGAAATTTTCGAGGACACGGCACGGGACGGGATGGGATGGGATGAGATGGAAAGGAGAGCCAAAGAGACAGGAGCATGGCGATGCGCTGGCGGTGTTTCGAGAGTGTTTACGACGCTAATGTGTAGTTTTAGTACTGCCTGCCATGCCCATGGCAGCAAAAGCTGCATCTAGCTGAGAGAGTTTGTTGCTTTGCAGTTACCTTCGCTCTGATCGGATCGGATGCTGCATGAGATAATATAAAGGACAGACAGCGCTGCGCTGGGGGAATGGGGATGAAATGGGGGCTCAGAAGTGAGGCTTCTTGACTTGAGTCAGCGAAAGCGCCTGCATGGATGAAACCAAGTTGCGAAGTGGTCGCAGTAAAGTGCTCAGGCACACTGTACACGCTAGCATGTCTGTTGCATGCGCTTCACAACCAAATGCTTCGTTGTTTCTTCAAATGCGAATCAATGCAACACACAAGGGCCAAGGACCCTGAATTTTGCGCCCCCGCATTCCGTCGATCGAACCAGCGCATTCGAGTCGAGGCAGCCACCAGACCTGGACGGTTCGCGGCTCCGCTTTCCAGACCTTGGCTGCATGCAATGCACAAGAGCGCTGGTTCGGAAAGAATGTGTAGCTCACAGGCTAGCCCAAAAAGGCAGGAATGCTCGGGCAGCAATATTAGGGCAAGGCTGCCGCAAGTTGAGCAATGGGTTCGTCGCCAGAGACCCCTCCCACGGGCCAACCGCCTGTGAGTCCCAGACTGTGGGGCGGGAGCTCACGAAGACCTCATGTTCGGGCCGAACCTATGTGCCACCGTGGATTCTGTTCGGGGCTCTGACTGGAAGCTGCGTCCAAACTCTTGGCCTTCAAAATGCCTGTGACCAATCACGGAGGCTGCGTTGATGCTGCCTGTCGCACCGAACCTGGAAAGGCAAAAGGAATCTGCTGCTGATGTGATGTTGCTGCTGTGCTTCTCTCATCAGAACTAGGAAACACCTCCGACAAGGCGTGCTGAAAAGAACTTCTCTTCACGTGAAGGGGCAAGACTCGTGTGCGCAAGTTACTAAATAGTGCTCGTCCGATTGGTTCAAATTGAAGCCGCAGTTTTTAACTAAGGATTTCATTGGTGCATACAGGCAGTTGAGGCAGCAAAACACTGGCTCGCGTGTGAGGGCTCTTTAATGCGTCGCCGCCCAGCTCGCGTCAGCACACGACAGTGACTGTTGCTGATCAAACTCTCGTTACAACAGATTCTGTACAATCAAACGACTGTGATAATAGTTCCAGCAAGCACAAACCCAAAGTTAGGACCTTATATTTGTTGGATACTGAGAACATTAGATCATCTGACAAAATCGTCTTGCAACTAGCTTTAATATGGCCAGCAGGTTTTTTTTAAACATGTTACTGGCAAATTGATACATGCCACTGGTGAAGAAAACTGAAAAATGCATATTGATTTACAGCAACAATACACTCTAAGTTATACTCAATATGAAATTCCAATTCTTCTGCTTTACCCGATTAGACGTTCATATTAATCATTGACCATAACTATCCAAATGAAATACGGTAGCAGTAATACCATATGTTCCCCTTTGGCTGATTCTTAAACTATCTAAAGCATTACGTAATTATCAATAGCTTGAGCGGATATACAAAGGACAATCTGACACACTGTTGTTACAAGCTGCTGTGCTGGCATGGTCCACAACAGATGTATAGGTTAGGGAGTTGTCCCCTTCATGAATCGTGTGAGCCCCACCAGCACCACAATTTTCTCGTGAGTGGGTGAATCGGCGAGTCGCGACACGACTGGGAGCCCCCAATGTGCAGTCGATGCGCGGCGCGGAGCGAGTCAATTCCAATTGAGCGGCATGGACATCAGTGGCCCGATGAGTTCGCTGAGACATTTTCCCACTCACTCCCCAGCCCTCCACTCCGACCATCGTAGAAACGGAGTCATGGTGCCCATCAAACACCGCACACGATTTCCGTGATGGCGCCGTCACCACTGAAGGACTGCGTGCCCACTGCCCAAGCTAGTCGGCACCCTCAGCACACCCATCATCTCGCCCTGGGCAGCACTTGCAATCTGCAACGTGAATGTTGTATCTGTTGATAAACCCGGCTCTGAACTGAGACGACCAAGTCTCACCTTTCTCCTTCAAGCACCTTGTCTAGCACAAAAAGACTCGTCGTCCCTTAGGAATTTCGTTTCTCTGTTCCACGCCACAACACTAGCTCTGGAGACACCGAACCATGACTCCCTCAATCTCTGACCGTCGTCTTTCCCCGCATGCACCTATGGCTCTCCTCTCTCTCCTCTTGGTCCTCTCTCACGGCATCCTTCCCGCCACATGTTACGATCAGGACCCAAGCGACCCGCTTGCAGGCGTCAGCATGACGAATCGTCCTGACCTGCCAGAGAGCGGCGGTTCCAGTGCCAACTCTGGTAGTGGTGGCGGCTCTGACACCTCATTCACTCCCCGCACCGGCAGCGGCGGGAACGGTAACGGTAACGGTAACGATATCACTTCTGGCGGTGGCGTGAGCATTGCCCCTAGACGTCCGGCCCCGTCTAGCGGCGGAGGCGGCGGTAACGATAACGGTAACGATCTTACGTCTGGCAATGGCAAGAGCTTCTCTTCTCGACGTCCAGCTCCTTCTACCGGCGGCGGCGGTTCCGGCAAGAGCGACTCGGAGACGAGCTTCAAAAAGAGGAACGATCTTCCCGGAGGCGGCGGCAGCAACAATGGTGATGGAAGCGGGAGCATCGGCGGCGGCGGCGGCGGAGGAGGAGGAGGATCGTTCACAGGCCACAATCCGACCACCTCTCCACCGAAGCCGAAGCCTCGTCCGCCCATCCCGGCGCCAAAGCCGGAGCCGCAACCCAGCGCCCCTCCTAGTGACACGGGCAGCAGCGGCCCTGGCGGTAGTAGTGGTGCGAAGGTGGCAACCACGAAGCTTTATCTGCTGTCGGAGGCTACTACGAAGGGGCGGTGTCTGGACGGCAGGTGCGTTGAATGGAGCGCTGGATTGGACAGAAGGGATTGCTTAAATGGTTTCACGTCTTCATGCTGCCGTTCCAATAAATCAGACTCACTGCCTTCATCTCATCACTGCGTTGTGCATCCAGTCGTTTGTTCCTTCGCTTATGCAATTCTTCTCGTCTTGGCCTGTTTTTCTCTTTCATCTCAGTGCCCCGGGGTACTACCATCGTCAGGGCTTCGGCACTGGTTCTCGGAAGTGGATTATTTTTCTCGAGGTTCGATTCTCACCCATCTCATCGTTCCATCTCAACTTGAAATCTCGTGTTTGTTCCCGAAAATCACCAAGCCTCGCGCATTTGCCGAACGTGTGGCTCGAGTTTATCCCCCCTACCCCCTCTCCCCCACTCCCCCCCTCCTCACAATGTGCTCATGTGCCATCCGACTATCCCTTGCTTCAACAGGGCGGCGGGTGGTGCTTCAGCCTCAAGCAATGCGCCGTACGCTCAAAAGGCCTTCTCGGGAGCTCCACTCAATGGCCTAAGGAGCGCGTGAGTATACCCCTTCCTCCACCCTTCACTCCCTCGTCTTCGTTTTCCACCTTCCCCGTCTTCCCCACTGTCCCCATCGTACCTTTGTCCCTCGTCGTCCCACAACGCAGGCTTCGCCGGTGCTCGCAAAACGCCGTCTCCACGGGTTTATCCCGTGCCTCTTGCAGAACGCGTGCAGCAAATCACCAACGTCCATTCCGTCCGGTTTGAACTCTTCTAACCAGTTAGAACCCAACTGGTTATAGCCCTTCAGACCGGCTATAACATTTCCAACCGGTTACAACCCTTCCGAGCCGTTACACCCCAACGCCTTTTCCCCTCCACCTACCCTCACCTGCCACTCCCTTCTCCCCTCCCCTTTCCCCCGTCACCCGCCGATCCGCGCTCGCGAACGGGGCGCGGCAGAAAGTGGAATTCAATGGCGTGGTCAGTCCGAGCAGCCGCGACAACCCGGGCTTCTACAACTGGAACGTGGCGTCTATTAAGTACTGCGACGGCGGCTCGTTCGCGGGCGGGTCGGGCATGGCGCGCACCAAGGCCAACGATACGGTCTTCTTCCTCGGCAACTGGAACCTCAAGGACTCGATAAAAGGTACGGCAGGGGGAAGGTGCGAGGGGGGTTGCGTGAAGGTGCGGGGTACGGGAGGCGTGAAGGTATGGAAACGTCATGGAATGGCATGGGTTGTCGTGCCGTTTGGCCCCCGTGCTGACATTCAAAACGCATAAGACTCCACTCGCTCTATGAATGCTGACTCGTTGCTGTCCTCCACTTCCTGTCCTTCACTGCCCCTGTGTTGTTTTTTTCTGTTTTAAATGTTTTTGTTTTTGTTTTTTTCTGCCTGCGCGCAGACCTTTTGAATCAGCGCGGCATGAGCAAGGGCACGGACGTGCTGGTGGCGGGGTGCAGCGCTGGCGCCGTGGCGGTGTCCATGCTGTGCGATCAGATCGCGGGCCAGCTCAAGCCCTTCGGCCTCAAGACCAAATGCCTCATGGACGCCGGATTCATCCCAGGTACGACGGCGAAGAATCAGGGGCTAACGCGCGTGATATATATGTGTGCCCGTACATTCAATTGTGCATTCGAGATGGTTCTCTGCCACAAACTCTTCTTGCTGTTCATCTCCCCGCCTTTGAAATCCGTGGGCAGATGTGAAGGACTACAAGGGTCAGTTCTCCCTGCGTGAGAAGGTGGGGCGCATGACTCAGCTGCAGAGCTTCAACGGCATCGGGATCAACGGCGACTGCCAGCAAGGTCAGACAGTTATACCGATTGCACCGGGATTGACGTATTTCATTTTTTTACCCTATCCACCATAGTGCTCATTTTTACCTGTCCATATTGAACTGTATCCAGTCCTTGTGCCCGTTATGATGCCCGTTACGCAATTCACGCCTTCCTACTCTGCCCGTTATGCCCGTGTCTCCAACAGCGAACCCTGGGCAGAGTTGGAAATGCTTTTTCCCGCAGTACAATCTGAAGTACATCCGGACCCCGACCTTCCTTGTGAACTCGCTTGCGGACTACAAGGGCGTGGCGCTCTCGTTGGCTCCTCGTTCCAAAAAGAAGAGCAACCCTATCATCAAGTGCCTCTCTTCTAACTACGACACGGCCAAGTGCACTCCGCAGCAGCTCACTCTTCTCCAAAACTATTCCCAAGGGATCAAATCATCGCTGGACGAGATTTCACAGAACCGCGCATCGGCCAACGTGCAGTTCAAAGTGTTCACGTACACCCAGTCAACGCACTGCGTTATGGGTGATGCTCTTTGGAGCCAGCTCAAGTCTACAGACCAGCCCACCATTGGAAACAAACGACTCTCTTCGACGTATGGGAACGTGAATGGTGCCATCGCCAACACATTGAAGAACTCGTTTATGGACTGGTATTACTCGTAGGAAGATTTCCCTGATGCACTGGTACTTATAAGTAGTATATACTAGACTTACTAACTACAAGAATGCTATTACAGGCTCTGTGTACATCCAGATGTGTGGCAACTGCTGTAGATTTCTGCAACAGCAAAGCACTTTATGTGAACAGCTGGCATAGGTAGAGACTATGTTAGTGTATACAATGGATATTATCAAAACTGCAACGGGGTTATTACGGTTCGCTGGACAGACTCACATTCGCGGCTCGGACTTGCGCATGCGAGTCGCGACATGCGAGGACATGGGACGGACACATTTCCCCACGTTCTTGTCCATCTGTTGAAGTCCAACTTCGCCAACGGCGGCGATCTCGACATAGCCATTCGATGTTGCTTTGTCCCTGATCGTACGGTCATCAGACTTGTGGGCCTGATGAGCTGCACCAACAGCGTGCATTTCGTACTCCCTGAATCCAACACCAACAATATGCATTTCGTGCATTTCGTGCATTTCGTACTCCCTGCACCAACAGCGTGCATTTTGTAGCTGACCCTTTCGATCCAGCCAGACTCCAGACCAGCGCACACTGCAATCCGCGGGTCGCTATCCAAGTCTCACTCATCTCCACTCTCCTTCTTGCACGGCCCCTACGTTTGACCGCACAACTCTCGCCCGACGTGCAAGTCCTTGCAGCAGAAGAAGCGCCCGTCCCAACTGCCAATCACGGCGTAGAGACTCTTCACTGTGCATCGCAACTGCCGTTCCTACTACCAACTTCACCAACCAGTGTTTCTGGCTGAGCCATTCTGAGCCCATCGTCTCTTGGGCCCAACACAGCAGAGGCTTGCAGTGCAAGAGATCTCTGCTCACGCCGCCGATACATATATGTTTCACCCTCCTCTCTACGTTCACCATATTCTCAACGTCCGACGCGAATCTGCCGTAGTTTTCTCCAGGTTGCTATTTCGGTGCACCACTTGTGCCCCACCTCGCCCTTATTTTCTCCAAGTATCTTTATCGCAACCTTTGTGGAGGCAATTCTATTGCCCCTCTCCAGATTCCTTCCGTTCACAATCCGATTTTCGTCGTCTGTTTTGCAAGGACGCTGCAGCCGCCGGTGCGCTCGTGTTGAACCAGTGCAAATTAGTATCATATGCGCTCCCCTCGAGCCATTTAAGACCCTCCCCACCACTACAAGAACGTTACAACGAACGACGAAGCAACGCCAGCCACACCTCGCGAAACCTCTTCGCGCTCGATTCCCTACGTTCTCCCTCCTTGCTTGCCTCGTCTGCTCGTTTACCCCTCCCGTCCTACTAGTCCCCGCCTCCCCCCCCAGCCACCTTTCACCACGGCGCGCCGGCCCCACATGCCGCCGCTGCGCAGAAACCATTACCTCTACCCCGGACCCCTTCTCAACCCCACCCTTCCTCTCCTCGCCCTCGCCCTTGTCGCGACCCTTCCGTCCTTCTCCATCGCGGTCCCTCCCCCCGCGGGGGGCGGTGTGAGCGGAGCGGCAAGCACGAGTCTGGTGTTGCTTCCGCCGAGTAAATACGGCGCGCGATGCTTGGACGGCAGGTCGGTGGTGCTTTCGAGGTTCCCACCATGCGGTTCTGCACACCATCCATGCCATATTCTGCCACGTCATACCACTATATGCCGCCTTTCTGCTCCACTCCACACCAAATCACCCACTTTTTCCTACTTCGCTGAACGATAATCACGTTCGGGTCACATTCGGCTAGTTCAAGCCGCGTGTCACGGTAACAGAGCGCGTCTGCCCGACAAGAGGAGCCATAGGCACCGTTTTATTCGAACAATCCACCACCGTTTCACCGTTTCCTCCCTGATTATCCAGCTCTCCTCTTTCGCCCCCGCCTGCTTTCTCCTCCTTTCCCCGTCCGTCCCCACCCGTCCCTCCGCCCACTCGTCCCCGCTCAGTCCGCCGGGGTTCTACCACCGGCAGGGGCACGGCACGGGCGCGAACAAGTGGCTGATCTACCTGCAGGGCGGCGGGTGGTGCTACAGCGTCACGGGGTGCAGCTTCCGCGCAACCACCGTGCTGGGAAGCACCCGTTTCTACGTGCCTCCCTCTAACCCCGCGTTCGAGTCAACGGTATGTGTAATTCTTGAGTCAGCACTGAACTCACCTCGGCTGGTGTGGTGGGCACACTCAGAATCTCGTTTTTGAGTCAACAAGAATCACTAGAATAAGTCTCTTCGGTGTGCGTGGCGTGGCGTGGTCGAGTTGTCAGCTCGCATCTCGCTGGCAGTCCGTGCCGCAACGACGCGCACCACGACCGGGGCGGAATGGGGCGGATTCTTCCTCACCCCCTCTTAAACCTCCGCTCCCCCCATCCCCTTCCCTATCCCCCCACTCCCTCTCCCCCCTTCCCCCCTTCCTCCTTTCCCCTTCCCCCCCCTTTACCCCTTCTACCCCGCTTTTCCCCCTCCGCCGCCTCGCCCCCAGCTGCGCAAGTACGGCACGCAGTTCAGCGGGATGCTGAGCGCGAGCGCGCAGGAGAACCCCGCGTTCTTCAACTGGAACACCGTCATGGTGCTCTACTGCGACGGCGGCGGCTTCGCGGGCAGCGGCCAGCGCATCGCCGTCAACCGCACCACCACGCTCTTCTCGCACGGCTCGCGCATCATCAACGCCGTGCTGCAAGGTGCGCGATGCTGCTGTCCGTGATGCTCCTGTCCGTGATGCTCCTGTCCGTGATGCTCCTGTCCGTGATGCTCCTGTCCGTGATGCTGCTCATCGCATCCAACCTCCCAAAGCTACACCCAAACGCATGGCTCGCGCATCACCAACGCCGTGCTGCAAGGTCTGTGCTGCTATGCTCCTCTGCTCAATGCATCCAAGCTCCAGATTTACACACACAGAATCATGCGCACACTCTATCGCTCGCTTGCTCCGTACAGAACAGACGCGCCTGCATTGCTACACCTCGCCCTCCTAGCGCTCACCTCGGGAACCCCCAACCATCCCTCCCCGCCGTTTTCATTTCCGCCCCCAGAGCTGACCATGCGGCGCGGAATGGCGGCGGCCGCCAAGGTGGTGCTGAGCGGGTGCTCCGCGGGCGGGCAGGCGGTGAGCGCCGTGTGCAACCGCGTGGGCGCCGCCGTGCCGCGCGCCAACGTGAAATGCATCATGGACGGCGGGTTCTTCCTCGGTACGTGCTGTGCTGTGCTGTGCTGTGCTTTGCCGTGCTGTGCTGTGCTTTGCCGTGCTGTGCTGTCTGTTGAGCATTGAGCCCGAGGGTACAAACGTCTGCAGACCTCGGGGTTCAAAAGCAGACGTGCAGACGTGAAATGCCTCATGGACGGCGGGTTCTTTCTCGGTACGTGCCCGATGTGCGCCTCGTTCAATACAAATGTCTCCTTGTGGCGTCAATCAATCTTCCTCCTGCACATTGCGTGTTTGCGCATCACCATACGCTCATTGCTGCATCTCTCGCCCTTGCAACGTCTACCTTCAACCCCTTTACCTCTAACCCCTCCACCTCCAACCCCTCCACTTGTTCCCCCTATTCCCCTTCCCCCCTTCCTTCCTCCCCACCCAATGCCCCCTGCATTTTCCCCTCCGCTGTCCACCCTCCGCGGCTGCCTCTCCGCGCATCCGTGACTTGTGCGCGTGCGCGGATGCGCGCATCAGACGCGGACGACGTGACGGGGCAGAAGTACTTCCGCAGCCTCGCCAAGTCCATAGTCGCGCTGCACCGCCCTGTTGTCGACCCCGCCTGCCGCCAGAGTAAGGCTGCATCACATCACGTCACATCGCATAACATATCACATGACAATATGACATGTCGTCAAATGTCATCAAATGCCATCACATGGCATCACATGGCATATCATAGCATCACATCACATCACATGACCTCAAAACCTTGTCCCACTCCCTTCCCCACCTCTCCCCGTGCTACAGCGTACGGCACGCAGGTGTGGAAGTGTTTCTTCCCGCAGAACAACCTCTATTTCGTGCGTCGCCCCGTCTTCATAGTCAACTCAGTGGCGGACTTCGCAGCCATAGACATAGCCAACCAGGGCCAGAACGAGTCCTCTACCACCAGCATCACGCACTGCATGAACAAGCTGTTTCTCAAGGCTGGCGCTCCTGCCGCTGCCGCTGCTGCTGCCGTCTCTGCTGCTCCTGCTGATGCTGATGCTGATGCGGTGGGGGCAGCAGCGGCGGGGTTTGGTCTGGTGGGGGAGGGAGGGGGGGGGGCGGAGGCATGGGGTGGAGATGCTGTAGCTTCTGCTGTGGCTTACAGTGAGCAGACCCGCACTGCTCGGTCTACTGCTTTCTCCTCCCCTGCTTTCCCAGCAGCATCAGACGCACACTCAAGGCTAGTAGACGGGGATACATACGATCAATTCTCTGCCGTTTTCCAGGCGCCACAAGTGGCATCGTCCCACCCAGGGTGGTCGATCGAAGGAGACACGCATCTCCAGCTCGTCCCCTTCAACCCCACCACCGCCACCGGCGCCAGCAGCAGCACCAGCACCAGCGGCAGCACCAGCGGCAGCACCAGCAGAAGCTTCACGGCCCTTCACGGCGCCACGGCCAGCATCACAAGCCTCCGCCATGACCGCAACAGGGACCGCCACAGCGACAGCAGCAGCGACGGCAGCAAGAGCAGCAGCAAGAGCAACAGCAAGAGCACCAGCAGCAGCAGCGGCGGCAGTGAGTGCTCATCAGCGGAGATGGCAGCAATACAGACGTACTCGCGGCGGTCCATCATGCGCATCCGCTCTGTGCTGCGCGCCAAGCCTTCCTTTGGGTTCTTCCTGGTGGGCACCATAGGCCACTGCACCACCATCTACCCCACGTGGGCGCAGGTCGCCCGCAAGAAGGAGAACCTGCGCCAGGAGCTCACCACGTGGATCGGGCCCTAGTTGGCTCATTGATTGATTGATATTGTTGCCGCCGGTAGGTCATCCATGGGGATCGTCTGCTATGCTGCCTCCATGTCGATCACCTCACGTGATGTTTTTGAAGGGATTGCAGTGGAGAGAGAGAGGGCGGTTGGTTGGTTGGTAACTGGAGGAGGAGATGGGTTGGGAAGGGGTGTGTGTGGGGTTGTTTGACATGGAAGAGGGATTTAGCTGTGGCGCCATGCTTCTAGGTGGAATTAGCTGGGTTTGAGAGAGTGTTTTGCTTTCTCACTTGTGTATGTAAAATAATTGGAAATAAAGCTGTCCTTTGCTGAATTATGCAAAGGAGCCCCATGTAGCAATGGCTGCCTGAGGGTGTTGTACTCCTACTGTCCTATCGGTGTCAAAGTGGTTTGCTCCATTGGGGTGACGCTAGGATCGCACTTACCGGTAGGTTCATGGCTCGGCCATGTGGTCAATAGCTCGGCCATAGGGTTCATTGCTCGGGCAGCTCGCTGATTTTTTTGCACTCCTGCACGTCCAGCACCTGCAGCGAAGCCAGGAGTGAGACGGCTGCGGGCAGCTTGAGCAGCAGCGGCAGGTCGTTGAGCGTGAGAGAGAGGAGAGAGGCAAGATTGCCGAATCCTTCTTCTGGTAGAGAGGAGAATATCTCACAGTCAGAGACCATGAGGTGCTGCAGGGAGGTGAGGAGGGTGAGGGAGGCGGGGAGCGTTGATAGCTTCGGCGCGGTGTCTATGGTTAGCACGCGCAGCCCTTGCATCTGCCCAAGGTCCTCGGGCATGTTGGAAATTGTTATGTGGCTGAGATGAAGGCGCTGGAGGTGAGTAAGGGCTGTGATTGAAGAAGGAAGAGGGGAGAGCAAGGGGAGGGTGTGGAGGTTCAGGATTCTCAGTTTCTGTAGTGTGTGGATATTGGGTATTGAGAGAGGGGAGACAAGGGACAAGTCATAGAGAGAAAGGCTTTCCAGAGAGGATGCAATGGGAACGGTTTTGAGAGATGGGATGTGTTCGATGCGCAAGTGTTGCAGAGAGGAGAGGTGGGAGGTGGCTGGCTGCATGTCGCTGGTGTTCTGTAGCGTGTTGGACAGAATTAGGGTTTGCAGGGTGGATGGGAAGGGCGAGGGCGAGGGGGCGGGCGGGAGCTTGGTGAATTTCACACAGTCACGGATTTCGAGGTGGAGGAGGGAGGGGAGGAGGTAGAGACCTGAAGGGAGGGAGGAGAGAGAGGGACATTTGAGGAAGAGGAGGCGGCGGAGGGATGGGAGGGGATGGGGAGAGGAGGGCGGGGTTGAAGGCTGAGGATGGGTGATTGTGTCTACAAGATAGGGGCCATGCCCTATGGCAGAAACGTCGGCAGCAGCAGCAGCAGCAGCGGCAGATGCAGAGGCAGAAGCAGCAGCAACAGCAGCATTGGCAGCAGCAGTAGCAGACGCAGCAGCAGAGGCATCAGCAGCAGCAGTAGCGGAAGCAGCAACGGAAGCAGCAGCAGCAGCAGCCACAGCAGCAGCAGCATTAGTACCAATAGAAGCAGAAGCAGCAGAAGAAACAGCCGCAGAAGCAGAAACAGCAGCAGCAGCTGCTGCAGAAGCAGAAGCAGCAGCAGTAGCAGAAGCAGCAGCAGCAGCAGAAACAGCGGAGGCGGCAACAGCAACAGCCGCCGCAGTAGCAGCAGCAGCAACAGGAGGAGAGGGGGTAAGTGGTGGCAGCACGGAAAGCCTCTTGCAGCGAGAGAGCTCTAACTCCTGCAGGCCCACAAGGTTCCCCCACCCTAGGGGCAATTCACCCAGCGAGTGGCAGTTGGAGATGCAGAGCCGCTGCAGGCGAGTCAGCTGCGTGAACGATGCTGGCAGCCGCCGAAGCTCATGGCACCCGTGGATCTCCAGGGCAGTTAAGGAATTCGCGAGCTGCCCGAACGTGCTCGGCAGGTTAGTGAACACTGTCTCGTGCGCGTCCTCGTCCCCATCATCATCATTATCATCCCCGTCGCTGTCTTCTGAACGTACAGGGTCAAACATGCAGGTCTGCCGGCCTAAATCCCGATCATCCCGTTTCGTTACCAAGCCCTTCCATCCAAGAGTCAGGCTTTCAAGGCGGGGAAGCAGCGAAAAGGACTCAGCAAGGGTTTCCAGCTGTTCGCATCCAGCTATTTCTACCGTGCGAAGCGCTGTCAGCTGCCCGATAGTTTCGGGCAGGGCTTCGAGAAAGTCGCAGCTGTGGATAGTGAGGTTCTCAAGCTGGGATAGAGTGATTGGCAGAGGTATGTGACCCGGATAAGCAGCAATAGTGAGCCGCGTCAGCTTCAGCAGCTGCTGCCCGAACGAATCGGGCAGATCGCAAGCAACTTCGCTCAGATGCAGCTCCGTCAGCGCCGACACCTGCCTGAGATCTTCGGGCAGCGATTCCAAGGAACACCCAAGAAGCTGCAGGCGAGAGAGGGAGTGCAGCCCCTCGAAAGAAGCTGGCAGCGATGTTAAAACCTCACAATTGGCCGCGCGCAGATGCGTCAGGGAGGAGAGGAGGGCTAGCGAGTCTGGAATGGCTGCCAGGGCGGGAAGCTGGTCGAGAACAAGAGAAGAGAGGTGGGAACGTCGCCGATATCCTCCGGCAACGAGGCGAGAGACTCGCAGAACTGAACGGTGAGAGCAGTGAGGGAGGAGAGGGCGGAGAGCGAGGGCGGGAGAGCAGTCAAGCGAGCGCAGAACTTGATGGTCAGTTCTTGCAGCGATGGCAGCTCTCCGATGCCATCAGGGAGCGATTGCAGGTGCGAGAGGTGGGAGAGGAGGAGGCGTTTGAGCGAGGAGAGGTGGGCGGAGGAGTCTGGGAGAGAGGCGGCACTGAGCCCGCGCAGGTGGAGGGTTTCGAGGAATGATAAGAGGCTGATGGAGTCGGGCAGGGATTCCAAAGAATCTAACTTCGCCAACTCCAGGTACCGCAGTTTTTTTAGCTGCCCGAGACCGTCGGGCAGCTCCCGGAGGTCGAAGCAGCCGTCGACTTTCAGCGAGGTGAGGGAGCGGAGGCGGGAGAGGGTGGGCGGGAGGGCTAGCGCGCAAGCAGCGCGGATGCGAAGCGACTGTAACGCGGACAGCGAGCCAACACTCTCGGGTAACCCCGCCTCGGGCTCTGGAAGCGGCCTGGAATCGCGGTCGTCTCGGCCGCACGAAACGTCCAGCCGCGTCAGCCGCTGCAGGAGGCTCACGGAAGCGGGCAGCTCGGGCAGGCACATGGGCAGCACGAGTTTCAAGCTGACCAGGCGGCGGCAGGCGGCGAAAAGGGCGGTAACGGCGGGCTCTGTTACTTTCGCGACGGCGTCGTCGGGGTCGTCTGAGCCGTAGTTCTGGTCCCAGGAGCGCAGGTTCATGTGGCGATACAGCGACAGGTGCGTGAGGGAGGAAGCACATCCCGTCGCGATGGAGTTAAGGAGATCGTCTGTTATGGCGTCTAGAGCCGATGGGCCGATGTGCAGGTGACGCAGGGTGAGCGGGGAGTGGAGGGGAAAGGACGGGGAAGCAGCGTTGGCGGAGCGGGTGGTGGGAGGGGAGAGGGAGAGGAGGATGGGAGGGGAGGAGGAGGGAGGAGGTGGGGAGGAGAGAAAGGAGCGGAAGGTTTGGATGGAAAGGCGGCGGTCGGCTTGCAGGAGGATGGCGGGGAGGCTGAAGCGCGCCAAGCGGAGCCAGCGCTTGCACACGAGCGCGTGGTGGAACACCGTGAACGGCGGAGGCGGAAGCGGAGGCGGAGGCGGAAGGGGCGCGGAGTCCGCGGAGGTCCCGGAGAGGGGGGGCGGATAGACGGAGGCGAGGATATGCTCAGCTGACGGCGTGTCGGGATTGTCGGGTTCGATCTGGAGTGTCATGGTTCGAGCGTAGTTCGCGGCGGTCGCTTCGGCCTCGAGAGCTATGGCGCGGGGTAGCTGGATAACGCGTACGAAACGCGCGCACTTGTTCTTCACTGCCCGCGCGATGCGCTCGTGCAGCAGCTCGTCCTCGCTCGCGTCGTCGCCATGCGCATCCGCATCCGCGTCCTCGCTGTTGGCCGACCCGTTAACAGTATTCCCCACGTTTCTGGCCATCCCATCATCGCGCTCCGCAGAAGCACCGTCGCCCCCGGCTCCGCCCGCGTTAGGCTCCGCGGCGGCGGTGGCTGTGGTGGTGCAAGAAGAAGCAGCGGCGGTTGTAAGGCGCAGCTTGGGGTGGAAGCGGAAGCCGTTAGAGGCGACGAGCGCGAGAATGTGCGCGACGAGATCATCCGACAGACGTGTGAAAGGATCGGGATCGATGCGGCGTGGCCGAGGAAAAGAGCCCTCGATGAACGAATCCATCTGAGAAACCACGCGTTTGACGAGATGCGCGGCAGAAAAGCGCTCAGTGCGCGCTGAAGGAGCTGCACGTGTGATGCTTGTGAAAGTCAGCAAAGTGAGAATGGTACGAGACTCTGCCGCGTTGTGAGCTGGAGGTTCAGTCAGGGTGTAGCTAGAGGAGTGAAAGAGGAAGAGGAGTAGAGAGTTGGAGAGTTGGGGAGTTCGAGTCTGAATTTTCTCACATTGGGTTCATTTTATTGCGGATGGATGCGATGCGATTCTGTGCGTGTTTGAGCGGGTCGTAAGGGGTGTCGCAAGGGGAGTGAAAGTTCACCCCTTCACCTGCGCTGCGCTCCTGCGATTATCTGCGTGTGTCAGGCTGTCGCAAGGGAAGTGAAAGAGAGAGTACAAGACATCTTTCTCATTACAAAAGGCTCGATTACAAGAGTATCAAATATAAATACGGAAGTCCTCATATTCCAGTCGTTGACCAGAGTTCCTAGCGAATCAAGTCTCTCTTCTTGAACAGCGATAGATTCAAGTCGGGACTTTGCGAGACAGGCAATACAAAAGAGTTGTGCGTGTAAAGCAAAGCAAGGCAACTCTGGTCCACTGCTGCTCGTCGAAACACACCACCACTACCACTGGCCTACGGTGTGACCCCCCGGCTCACACTTGGGTTGGGCCTATGGTATGCTGCTACTCAAGCTCTATGCCTCTCTATGAACACGCTTGTGGTATTCCTGTGTATGCATAATGCATGCACTTCATCTTGCATCATGTGCTGTACGGTGCTGTGCTCTGCTCTGCTCTGCTGTGCGGTGCTACTTATGCTCCCCGGTGTGTAGCGCAATCAGCCCATGAGCATCTGATGAGGGGAGGCACGCAGCAGAGGAGAAACAGCATGGGTGGGTGGTGGGCGGGCGAGAGATGGGCAGGGTGAAGGGCGGGTGCCGAGAGGCGTGCGTTAGAAGTACACCAAGACCTCATAAACTTCATGTCTTTATATGCTTCCCTATCACGAAAGCCAGAGAGAATTTGCAGTAATAAAGAATCACAACAAGCGTATAAGTGATTGAATGACTTGGAGCCGTCCCGTCCCTTGCATCCTCCTTAAATCAAGGGGGTGCCATGACTCTCCTATCCTATGGCCCACCTCTCCTTCCTCCACCTACCACACCACTCCCTCTCCCTTCTTCCCTCCTAAGTTCCCTCCCCTCCCATCTCCCGTCTCTCCTCCCCCCTCCCCTCTTCCCTCCCTCCCCCTCCTTTCCCGTCTTCAGCACATTACAGTTCCCCCTGCTCCCCGCCCCCTGCCATCCCACCCCCTCACCTGCAGCAGCCCGCCCATGAAGTCCCCTCTCCCTGACGGCTGCGCCACCTTGTAAGGGCGCTGCACTATCTCTCCACTCCCCTCTCCCCTCCCTCTCGCCTACCCTCCCCCGTGGCCTCCCCTCACCTGCAGAAGCCCGCCCATGAAGTCTCCCCCCCCTGACGGCCGCGCCACCTTGTAGTAGCGGTGGGCTAGTTCGTCCAGGTACTGGGGGGGTAGGGGGGAATAGAGGGGAATTGGGAGGGGGGAAGGGGGAAATGAGGGGAAATGAAAGGAGATGAAGTCCCCTCCCCGTGAGGGCCGCGCCACCTTGTAGTAGCGGTGGGCTATCTCGTCCAGGTACTGGGGGGGTGGGGGGGGGGATAGAGGGGAATGAGGGGAATGGGGGGAATAGGGGGGAAAGGGGGGGAAAGGGGGAGATGAAAGGGAATGAAGGGCCCTTCCTCTGGAGAGCGTGTTACCTTATATTAGCGTTGGGCTATGTCGTCAAGGTGGGTTGGGGAAAAAGGGGGCATGGAGGGGACTGGGGGATGGGGGGAACGGGGGGAACAAGAGGGAATGTGGGGTATATGGATGGATAGAATGGGGGAGAAAAAGCGAGGGAGAAAGCAAGAAGACAAGGCGAAAACAAGGAGCAAGGAAGGAGATCAATAGGCACTTTTTGCCAGTTCTGAAGGGAAGGGTCAGAGACAGAGGTTTCTACATAAGTGTAGCAGTGTGTGGGGAGGGAGGAGGAGGGACCAAACGAGCGAGGTGTAAAGGAGAGTGGTGCATACGGAATGGAACTGGGGGTCGCGGCGAATGCTGGGAGCATACACCTTGCGCAGCAGCAGGAAGAGAGGCAGGGCATCCCTCTCAACCCTGCACAGCCCGAGGGGGAGGAGGTAAGGGGTACATAGGGGTGCAGAGGGGTGAAGGGGGTGAAGGGGGGTAGGAAGAAAGTGGGTTGAAGATGGTAAGGGAAATGAACGGGATGGAAGGAAATAATTTGTGTAGGAGATGGAACACGGGGGCATGAAGGAAGGTAAGTTGCACACAAAGGGAGGTGGAGAGAGGGAGGTGGAGGAGAGTGGAGGAGAGTGGAGGAGAGTGGAGGAGAGAGGGGATGGGTGAGGAGTGCAAGGAGCGCACGTGAGGAGCAGGAAGCGGGTGAAGTGGAGGAGAGGGGAGTCGGGTAGAGCTGGTGCAGCGCCTGCTGCCCCCCGTGCTGTTATATCGTCCATCAGCTCATTAGCTCCCTTTATGTTGCCCACTGTCAGGTACCTGCCACACAAGCATGTGAGATAGTACTCTAGTGCTGAGACGTCTCAAAAGTGTTGCTCCACTCCACGTGCTGCTATGTCGTCCACCAACTCGTTGGCTCCCTTCATGTGTCAACTGCTAGGTACCTGCCACCCATGCCATGCCGTGGAATGCCGTGCCGTGCAATACCATGCCATGCCATGCCATGCCATGCAGTGCAGGGCCGTGGACACGTGTCACATACATCCGAGCCAGCCAGCATGCACGTCAAACTCATGCACTGAGGCTTGCTGCTCTCTGGCTCGGTACTTGACGTAGCAATTTTTAAACGGCGACATTATCCGGCAATACTAAACAAGATGATCTTAAAGCGGAATTCGGTGGACAGCGGTGGAATGCGTTTGGGAGGAAAGGAAACGAAAGCACGTACTGCAGCACGGCTCTGGCGAGCACAAGGTCCACCTCGTCTGGGAAGCCCTGGCATGGGCAATGGGCATAGAGAGAGGACAGGGAAGGACAAGGGCGAATCGAGGGAAGGACGAGGGCGAATCGAGGGAAGGACGAGGGCGAATCGAGGGAAGGACGAGGGCGAATCGAGGGAAGGACGAGGGCGAATCGAGGGAAAAGCGAAAACGGGAGACAGGAGGAGAGGGGAAGATGAGTTGGTGAGGCGAGAAAAGGCGGGCCCAGAGGAAACGAAACGGAGAGAGAGGGAGACGTCGAGTACAGAGAGTGTGGGAGTTTGTTAAGAAGGGGTGGGAACAGAAAAGTGAAGACATGCATTACTAGACTAGAGGGCTAAAGGTAGGGTGTTGGGAGACAAGGGGCGGTTGACTGTGCGTGCTTCGTTGTACGTGCGAGCAGAAGAGAGAGACAGAGAGGGGGGCGGGAAGGGACGAGGAAGGGAAGGGAAGGGTGCAAGTGCAAGTGACTCACCTCCTGCATGACTTGGCAGAGAACTGAGCTAAACGCCTTAGTGTCGCGGCCCAGCACAAAGTGCCGGCTGGCTGCCTCTAGATCCTGGTGGCACGCGTACACATGTGTGGAAGAAGGAGGGTGAGAGTGCGAGGTGGAGAGAGGAGGAAAGTGGGTCAGGGGGAGAAAGAAAGGGGTGGAGAAGTAAGGGTGTGTGATGTGGAGGCAGGATGCATGAGCAGACTGTGTGCGGGTGTTTGCCCCTTGAGCAGGGGGTTCATCCTGTCGAGCTGGATCTCTGCTACATGCTTGGATCCCCGGCTTGTAGACGATGTCGTAGTGGAGATGTGTCTCGAGGAAGTCCATCCACCGCACTTGTCGTCGTGAGAGCGTAGGCTGGGACTTGGTATTTGAGACTGCAGTGGTCGGTGTTGGTCTTGGCTCCTTCCAGGAAACACCTCCACGCCTTGAAGGCTGTAACGATCGCCCAAGTCACGCACTTGGACCAAGTCGCTCACTTGGACCAGGTCGCTCACTTGGACCAGGTCGCTCACTTGGACCAGGTCGCTCACTTGGACCAGGTCGCTCACTTGGACCAGGTCGCTCACTTAACCCAGGTTGTGCACTCAGACCAGGTGGCCCTATTGGACCCGGTCGCCCTCTTGGACCAGGTCGCGCGCCTCGACCAGGCCGCGCGCGTGGACCAGGTCGCGCGCGGACCAGGTCGTGCATGTGGACCAGGTCGCGCACTCGGACCAGGTCGCCCTCTTGGACCAGGTCGCGCGAAGCGCGCGTGGACCAAGTCGAGCGCGTGGACCAAGGCGAGCGCGTCGCGCGCGTGGACCAAGTCGCGCGCGTGGACCAAGGCGCGCGCGTCGCGCGCGTGGACCAAGGCGCGCGCGTCGCGCGCGTGGACCAAGGCGCGCGCGCGGACCAAGGCGCGCGCGCGGACCAAGGCGCGCGCGCGGACCAAGGCGCGCGCGCGGACCAAGGCGCGCGCGCGGACCAAGGCGCGCGCGCGGACCAAGGCGCGCGCGCGGACCAACGCGCGCGCGCGGACCAACGCGCGCGCGCGGACCAACGCGCGCGCGCGGACCAACGCGCGCGCGGACCAACGCGCGCGCGCGGACCAACGCGCGCGCGCGGACCAACGCGCGCGCGCGGACCAACGCGCGCGCGCGGACCAACGCGCGCGCGCGGACCAAGGCGCGCGCTTGGACCAAGGCGCGCGCGTGGACCAAGGCGCGCGCGTGGACCAAGGCGCGTGCGTGGACCAAGGCGCGCGCGTGGGCCAAGGCGCGCGCGCGTGGACCAAGGCGAGCGCCTAGACCAAGTGGAGCAAGGAATAGCCACACGACCCATGAACCACTCAGTCACCCCTGTGCTGCGCCAACAGCCGCCATTAGCACTGCTCCCGCTGCAACAGGGGCAGCAGCACACAGCACAGCAGCACACAGCACAGCAGCACAGCAGCAGCATCACAGCAGCGCACCTGAGTGGCACCATGCGTCCACAGCAGCACTGCCAGTGCATCGTGCAGCTCTGGTGCTCCATGCCTTGGTGCTCCCTGTGCCTTCAGAGACCACCTGTGGAAAGCAAGCGGGGGTGGGTGGGGTGGGAGAAGAGGTGGGTGGGCAGATCAAGGGCAAGCCGCGGGTGCTGGTGAAAAGGACCACCTGAGTGAGTGCAGGTGGGACTGCTGGTGTGACTGCTAGCAGAAAAGGTGAGTGGGTGACTGCACAAGGTACTACATCGTAACTGAGTGAGCTGGCACGGGAGGGGGCGGTATTACACACCGAATGGCGGCTTTGAGGAAGGACAAGCAGCCTTCAAACGCAGACAGTGATTCGGATTCAGCAGCAGCAGCAGACGCGGCTGCCTCCGGCGCTGCAGATTGCTCCCTGCTCTCACTCGCAGACTCAGAACCACCACCAGCAGCAGCGGGCGAGGCGGGTTGGTGTGCGAGCAGCGGCTTGAATGCGTCGTTAATGGCCAACAGACGCTCTGTTGGTGTGGTGACAAGCGAGAGCAGGAGAAGGCGATAAGGAGGGAGTGAGCGAAGAAGAATGTGAGTGCGTGTGGAGAGAGGAAGAGAGAGAGATTGGCATAGTGGTGGTGGGTGGCAGGAGCAGGACAAGACAGTGGCATAGCTAGAGCCTGTGAGCCTAGCACTCCATGCTTCCGTCACCCCATCCTCCCATCCTCCCAACACCTCATCACCCCAGCCTCCCATCATCCCACCCTTACTCACCCACAGCGCCTTGCGAGTGCGCGGCGTGCGTTGCAGACAGAGAATCCACGAGCAGAAGAGCCAGCTCCGTGCCACACGTCACCTGCCGCTGCTGCAGCTGCACACATGCACCGCTCTGCAGCAGCTCCACTGCATCCTCTGCCCGCGCGCCTCCTTTACTCAGGTACCTGGAGGGGGAGGGGGGGAGGGGTATGTTCTGGTGATGGTGCTGCTGCAGCTGCACGCACGCCCCGCTCTGTAGCAGCTCCACTGCGTCCCCTGCCCGCGCGCCCCCTTTACTCAGGTACCTGGTGGGGGAGGAGGAAAGTGGGGTGTTATGGTGATGCCGCTGCTGCAGCTGCACACATGAACACATGCACCGCTCTGCAGCAGCTCCACCACATCCTCTGCCCGCGCACCCCCACGGCTTAGATACCTGGAGGAGGGAGAGAGAAGGGGAGGAAGCGAGGGTGTGGTGGTAGTTACGGTGATGCTGCTGCTGCAGCTGCATGCTCGCACCGCTCTGCAGCAGCTCCACTGCATCCTCTGTCGGCGCGCGCCCCCAAGCTTAGATACCTGATGGGGGAGGAGGGGAGGGTGTGGTGGGTGGGTGGTATGGTGATGCTGCTGCTAGGGCAGCAGTAGCAGCAGGCAATGACGGAGTGGAGTGGAATGGGAGTTGATGGGTGCCTGATCCGCGTGCACGAGGAGGAGGATGGGAGGGCGATGGGAGGGGGATGGGAGGGGGATGGGAGGAGGGGGATGGGAGGGGGATGGGAGGGGGGGGATGAGAGGGGGATGGGAGGGGGGGGATGAGAGGGGGATGGGGGGGGGATGGGGGGGGGATGCGAGGGGGATGGGGGGGGGATGGGGGGGGGATGGGAGGGGGATGGGAGGGGGATGGGAGGGGGATGCGAGGGGGATGGGGGGGGGATGGGGGGGGGATGGGAGGGGGATGGGAGGGGGATGGGGGGGGGATGGGGGGGGGATGGCAGGGGGATGGGAGGGGGATTCTAGGGAGACGCGACCGTCTTTGCAGAGCGACGAGAAGGAAAAGGGGAGGGCAAGGAAGGATGGGGGGCAACGGGAGGGAAGGAAAGGCAAGGAGAGGGAAGGGAAGCAAGGTGCATGGAATGATAGATGATGGTGGGTTGGGTTGAGAGGTTTGGTTTGAGAGGTTTGACCTAACCTGGCGCTGACGCTCTTGTAGAGCTGCTGTGCTTCGTAGAAGTTGCCTGCCTTCACGCTCGCCTCCAGCTTACTCAGCATCTGCTCTCGCTCGCCCGCCGTTGCCACCCTCACATGCCGTGCCACGCCATGCCACGCCATGCCACGCCATGCCACGCCATGCCGCGTCATTCCATGCCAAGTTGCGAAACCAGCGAAGCCATGCAGGGTTGGTGGAAAATTTGAGAACGAGCAGTCGGCGATTGGGTAGCGGGTCGAATCAAGAAGCGGCAGCGCTTGAGGCGCCTAAAAAAAGGTTGGCGATTGGGGAGCGATGAGAGACAAGCAGGGGCACGACGAAAGAAGGCGAGAAACCGAATTCGATGGCGGAAAGAGAGGGAGACGGCGAGTGGAGGCCGAGAATAGAGGCGGGACGGAGATAATGGAGAGAGGGAGTCGAGACGAACGGCGCGAGGACGAATAGTATAACAAGGAGGGATTCGGGCGCACCTTAGCAGTCCCGGCTCCCGCTGTTGGCGCCATCGCGACAAGAGGGCGAGCGAGAGGCAAGGAAACTTGGAAATCAGGGCGAATGGAAGTGCAACGAGACGGTAATGGAAGTTGGATTTGACACGCAGTAAGGGATCCTGGCGACGAAAGAGAGATTTGGGCGGGCACGACAGAGAGGGAACAGACGAGGATGGAGCTGAAGTGGACAATATAGAGCGCGACGCAAAAGGGTGATACACCTACGGTGGGACTCGAACCCACAATCACCTGATTAGAAGTCAGATGCCTTATCCATTAGGCCACGCGGGCATGTCGCTTGAATTCATAAGAAAACATAATTACTATGTCACTGAAAGGACTAGGTGGCCACATGCCACTTCTTTTTGTTAAAACTAGCAAAAATGTAAAAGACGCATCCTCGTCCATCAAGAGTGCTACTTTATGGAGGACATCCGTTCGTGATTGTGGGATTTTGCAACCACCACCCAATCTGAACATATGGCCCTGTTCGGTAGCACTCACAAACAACCCCCAAAAATTGGTCAGTTTGGCCGTTGGGGGACCCGCAACTGACTACGTTTAGTGGTTCGGCATCGCGAAAATCGTGTGCGACCGTCGTGCGACAGACTGAAATGCCGAACGTAAACTGAACTGATCAAACAACATAGGAAACCCATTCCGAACTTGAAACCAACCAAAAAGACGAGAAATGCTTCAGTTGCTACAGTGAACCACGGGCAAATCTTCCAACAATGGGAGGTGATGGCCAGAACAGACCCACAAGATCTTCCAAATCTTTCAAAACGACCATTTTCAGTTGCTGCTGTATTGTTTGCCCCAAGGTCTGGTCAGTTTGCCCCAAGGTCTGGTCAGTTTGCCCCAAGGTCTGGTCAGTTTGCCCCAAGGTCTGGTCAGTTTGCCCCAAGGTCTGGTCAGTTTGCCTCAAGGTCTGGTCAGTTTGCCCCAAGGTCTGGTCAGTTTGCCCCAAGGTCTGGTCAGTTTGCCCCAAGGTCTGGTCAGTTTGCCCCAGGGTCTGGTCAGTTTGCCCCAAGGTCTGGTCAGTTTGCCCCAAGGTCTGGTCAGTTTGCCCCAAGGTCTGGTCAGTTTGCCCCAAGGTCTGGTCAGTTTGCCCCAAGGTCTGGTCAGTTTGTCCCAAAACGCAATTTCGAGGAAACCAATGGCTGCCCTCGTGGAAATTTACAACTGGTAATGTTGGCCGTTGAGATTTACATTCAGGTAGAAATGGTTTGTCTTTTGTGCGCACATTGCGGCGACCTGCTAGATTTTGCTGAGGTGTATCCGATCTGTCAGAACTTTACGGGCACAAAAAATGTATTTGCTCTAACAGGTTTGAAGGTTCGGAACCACACCTCCAGTTCGGTTCCGAACCACACCTCCAGTTCGGTTCCGAACCTTGCTTCCCTAAATTGTGCATTTTTGCTACCGGACAGGGCCATAACTGCTGCATACGGGCCAAAACGGTTAAAGCGATGGGCAACTTTTGGCAGTGTTGGGTTCAGAAGTTTTTTTTTTTAACCAGGCTTGCCAGCGCGAAAGTGCTGGCTGGCGAAAACCAGGATTTCGTGCGGACACTTTCCATCCGCAGTAACAGTTCGCCAGGGTTCTGGATTTTGGGTGGCAAATGTGCACCGTCGCTTTAATTGCCTTGCTTATCGAGGCACCCTCGGTGGGACTCGAACCCACAATCACCTGATTAGAAGTCAGATGCCTTATCCATTAGGCCACGCGGGCTTGCATGTCGAAAGTCAAACACATATTCTCGCTGCTGTTTGTGTTTCTGTTACTGCCCATACCCATAGCAAGAAATTGATGGCAGCTACCGGTACAATCTGTTCAGGGTGCATTTAGAGGCGGAAAATTTTGTAAAACACAATTCACCGTACTCACATCAAAAGAACCCTTCACTAATCAGCATGCCCTATCCTTATACAAAGGTTGTGCCGAAAAGTTCACTGATGCAATCATGCCAACCCAGCCATATATAACTTCTGCTCTATGAGTGTTGCTATCTTATGGCACGTAGAACAAAGTTTGGGTAAAATGGTCTCTAATCGTGTGGTGGAACAGCAGGTTCAGGACGGAAGCGAGAGTGAAGGGAAAGGGCTCAGTGGGTGCATGGCGTGGACGGGGCTTCGAGTGGAAAGGGAGGAGTGGAGAGGCCTAGAGTGGGAGGGCAAAGGATGCGCGGTGCCAGTTCACGGGGTCGGCGAGAAGAAACATGTCGTCCTTTTGGTGCTCGCCCACCTGGCACCATGCACATGCAGAAACATACCAGCAATCATGATATTTGTGGCATTGAGTTGAGCAACACCATGTAGGGAATGCAGAACACGGGACACGGATAATGTTGCACATGGGAGGATGCAGGGGGTACTATCCAGGGTGAATCATAGGAACAACGGAGAGAGGCAAAGAACAAAACTTGATGCGTTCATTGACCAACTCTTCTTCGGTGACAGCAGCAGGAGTAAGGCACAGCACAGCCTACCTTGTTCTGGCAGCAAGGGCAGAAGTGCTTCTTATGCCACATGCAGCTACCGGGCGTCAGGAAACACACTCCAACAATTGTAACCGCTGCTGCCACCACGGCAGCCGCACTCAGAGAAGAGCTGAGAGAACAGAGGGATCGTACAGGCAGGGACGGGGCAGCACAGGACACGACACACAGGTGGAGAACATAAGGGTAAAGAAAAGGCCGTACGTCTGGCTTTACCCAAACGTGATGACGTTACGAGGCGGAAAAATGGCTGCCTATGAGGGCACAGTGGAGTGGAAAGCACCACAGATAGCCTCCAAACGATAAATTCCCTGGACAGCACTAATGGCACACACAACACATCACTACCACCCTATCACCATCACCACCACCACCGCAACCGCCATCGCCACCACTACCGCCATCACCACTACCACCGCTTACCGGACGTCAGTGATCCCGGAGAACCCGCAGCACGGGCACGTGAACGGCGCTGGCGTATCCCCGAAGAACGTTCCGCGAAGCTGCCGGCCGTTGGGGTGCGAGAAGATGGCGTTAGGGGGAATAACACCGTCCTCGTACGGCGTGCCGCTCACGAAGCACAGCGACCCGCGCGACGTGAATCCCGCTGGTGGTAACCCCGACGCCTGCGCCTGTGCAGCTGTTACCGCCGAGACGCGATACACTGGCACGATGGATACTTCTGTATGCTGCTGCTGCTGCTGCTGCTGCTGCTTTCCATCCGGAAGAGGAACGTAAGTCGCTCCTCCTGCGACTCCCGCAGCGGCGGCGACAGCGGCTGGATAACCGACCGCTGCGTTTGCGAGCAACGACGCGTCCTCCTCGGTGGCTGTATAGACCCCCATGTAGCGTGGAAGAAAAGAAAAATAGAAAACTTGAAGACTGGTGGCAGAGTACTAGTTAGGGTAAGAAGTAGAGAGACCGCAAGCAGAGCAGAACCCGACGTTCTAGACCTTCGACTACGGTCAAGAGCTGTGTGTCAGCTGTTCGGTGACTCCTCCAAGAATCTGTTTGGGTGACAGGAAAGACGCATTTGAGGGGATGACCTCACGCGACAGTGCAGACCGAAGGCCACAGGAAGATGCGACCAGAACACCCCCTGAAGGGTTTCCGTCGAGAAAAACAGCTACACCGCTGCTTCAATTGCATGAGTTAGACGTGACGCTTACAGAAGGCAATTGATACCTAAAGAAGAGGAACAAACATTAACTGATCAAATTGCAAACCACACAGCACTTTCATCTAAACAGGGCCGAATCTCCAAACAAAACCATTCTCCTGATACACTTCAACACCAGCACTCCTGGAAAAGGGAACGATCCACACAAGTGCCTCCGCTCGGTTTGCTGGCTGGCTGGCTGCCAGGCGATTTGGCTGGCTGGCAGACTGGATGGACGGCAGGATGGACAGCAAGATGGATGGCAGGATAGCTGGCTGGCTGACCAGCTAGCACAGCAACCTGCCCCTGCTGCTTGCTTCTGGCCGTACACACTAACACTTCCCCTTTCACTACTGCCGCGCAGAAGCCAAAGCACCTTCCGAAATCTGCACGTTAAGACTGAGCTTGCCGGGCCTGGGCGAACCCACTCCAGTAGTCCCAACCGTCCCACCACCACCATGACCACCACCAACTCCACCTGGCGAATTCACCACTCCCTCTTGCAGCAGCCTTTGCCCCCCGCTGCCCTCCCCTTCACTCCCATTCACTGCCACCCCATTCACAGCACCTACTCTTAGCGAATCCTCCCCGTCCTGCCCATCACCCCACCCCTCTCTCCCCACGTCTTCATGAATCACCCCTAGTCCATCTTCCACCACAATCCCATCCACTGGCTCATACTGCGCTGGCTCCTCTTCCTCCTGCTCCTCCTCCCTCGCTGCTCCCCTCTCTGCTCCCGCCTCCGCCGCTTCAGGCACAGGCGCATCCTTCTTCTTTTTCTTCCTACCTGCCCGCTCCAGCCTCTCATCCAGCAAAAAATACGCAGGCAGGAACCTATCCCCTGCAGGCTTCACCCCCTCCCTCCTCCCTCCCGCCGCCACGGCCGCAGCTGCTGCGGCAGCAGCAACTCCTGCACCTGCATCCTCCAAAACGGACCCTTCCTCTGCTCCTCCCTCCAACAGCGCATGCACATCCACGCCGTTATCCGTTGCCACCCTCGCCAGGTGGCAAATCGGGTGCACGGGGCAGGGAGGAGGGCCGCGGCCGAAAGGAGCGGTGCGAGTGGGAAGCAGCATTTGAGCTACACAGAGAGAGGCGTGCAGGTCAGGGGTCATGCGGCAACTAGAGCTGCGGAAATAGGGAGTGGAGAAGGACCAGAGGGCCGAGGGAGAGGGGGGCGGCCAGGAGGGGTCGACTGGAGGGACGGACACACAGGTGCGGCCGGTCTTGAGGCAGTGGCGGAGGTTGGGGAGGAGTAGAGCGCGGTTGGGCTCGGTGTCGTGGACACTGCCAAGCGATGTGAAGCTGGGGGGATGGGTGGACGGGTGGGCGGATGGGCAAGTGGCACGGTGAGGAGCCGAAAGGATTACTTGTTGGGACGCGATGCAAGTTGAGGTGGGGAGTAAAGAAGGGAGAAATATTTTGACGAGAAGGCATGAGAACGTTGGTGCTGGAAGCAAAGGCCAGATGAAGGCAGGGCGGATAGGAATGGCAGGGGGGAGAGACAGTGTGACTGTGATGAGAGGGTCAGGGAGAGGGGAGAGAGGAAGGGAAGCGGGAAAGGGGGGAAGAAGAGCCGAGCGAGATGGGGAAGTTATGGATACTGACCCTTCGTCGTACAGATGGCAGTACGGCACCTTGGTGACAAGCAGGAACTCCCACACATCCCTGCCATGCCGTGCACATAGGGAGAGACATGGGGACAGCAGAAACAACGAATCAGATGCAGTGAAAAAAAACCACTAACTATCACTGTGGTGGAAGGCAATGGGGAGATTAGCAACAATAGGAACAATGGGGAGAGATAAAAGGAAGGGAGGAAAATAGAGGGAGGAGAACGCAGGGGCCAAAAAAGAGCTGGCAAAGGGAGAGTGGACGGGAGAAAGCGAGGGCATGGGCAGGGGGGGATAGGCAGGGAGGAAATGGACGGAGGTACGGAAAGAGAGGGGAGGCAGGGAGTTGTGTGAGGCACCTGTAGGACCAATGCAGGATGACATTGACTCGCACGAAATCAGGCCAGCCGGGTGAGCTGTGCGAGAAGACTGCCTGGTTCTTCTGCTCCCGGTGAGGGGGAGGGAAAGAAGGAGAGGGGGGGGAGGGGGGAGAGGGGGGAGAGGGAAGGAGGAGGGGGGAGGGGGGGAGAGGCGGGGACAGGGGGAGGGAAAGAAATACAGGGCATGACAGGTGGGTAAGGAGGGGAAGGGGGGTTCAAGAGGAAAAGAGGTTAAAGACAACAGGGAATTCGGGGACGCAGGTATGGATATTGCTTGCAATGGGCGTGGATTGTAAAGAGCGAGACGTAGGCGATAGAGGAGGTGGGGCCAGGAGGGGAGAGAGCAACGGGAGAACGGGAAAGAGTGAGTGGGAGGAGAAAGTGAGTGAGGGAGAGGAGAGAGTGAGCGAGGGAGAGGAAGAGAGCGAGCGAGGGAGAGGGAGAGGGAGAGGGGGAGAGAGGGACTGACTGACCCCATTGGGGTCGATGGAGCGGATGCCAAGGAAGATGGCCTGCACGGGGCGCTGCTTCTTAAGCGCTGTCAGGCCCGCCTTGAAGTCGTCGTCCGTCACTATCAGGTCCAACCCGTACCTGCCTTGCATGGCACCACGCCACATGTGTGTATGTGTGTGTGGGGGGTGTGGGGTGTTGGGGTGTTGGGGGTGAAGGGGGAGAGAGGAGGAGGGGGGGGTTGGCACATGCGGGGATGGCAGGGCATGTTGCAGACGCGATGGTGCATGGAGGAAGATTTGAGAGGTTGTGGGGGTGTGACGTGCCGTGGGGATGTGGTATGAGGGCATAGGTGGTGACAAGTGTTGTAAAGCTTGGGTGTGGGTGGAAAGGGGGAAGGAGTAGTACCGCACGTAAGAAAAAGGAGGGGTAAGGACGGATAGGGGGAACGAGGACTCTTGGGAGAAAGAATCAGGAGGTGGGAAATCGCATCCCGCCACCACCGTCATCCTCTCACCATCAAGAGCCTACACACAGACCAACCGCTCCAACTGTAGGCACATAAACGCACCGTTATCCCACATCACATCATCCCCATCACACCGTCCAATGCCATACCATACCATCCCCCTTCCTCTTCCCCTGCCCCCCCCCATTCCCCATCCCCTGCCCCCTCTTCCCCCGTCCAAGAGAAAGAAGAAGAAGAAGAAGAAAATTATGGCAATCCAGCAGTCCGACCGTCGACTCACCGTTGCGACATCTCAATGGTGAACGTGTCCATGGACGGGAACGCGTCCTTATCCCTGAAATAAATCGCGCAAAGCCCCGCCATCTCGTCCGAACTCGCCTTCTCTCCCACGCCGTTCTCCGTCTCGCTCTTCTTCTCCGCCGCCCATTCCCCTCCGCCTCCTCCGCCTCCCGCTTGTTCTCCGCCGGTTTCCCCTTCTCCGCCTCCGCCTCCCCCGCGGCAGCCGTGCTCGCACCCTTCGGAGGGGCATCCGCGGTGGTCCATGCTTCCCGCCAACCCCTCCACGAGCCACCCGGGAAGGTCTGCGCCGTCGTCGCAGTCCCCCTCGCCCGCCTCGTCCGCGCACGTCGAGTCCCGCAGGTCCACGCCCTTGGCGCGCGCCGCCACCAGCGCCGCGCGCAGCAGGTGCAGAATTACCTGGTTCACAAGGAAGGGATGGGGGGAGAGGGACGGCGGAAGGGCGGAGGGGAAGGGGTGGATAGATCCAGGGGGTCAGTGGTGTTGAGATGTGAGGAAGAAGGCGAAGGGTTGGTGTGGAGTGGAGAAGCTAGATATGGGGATACTGGGGCAACAGTCCGGTAAAATTCAGCAGACCTTCATCTTTTTGCAATCACATATTGACCCTGTATCCTCCCCTCCCCACTAATCACATCCACTTCCGTGCATCTTTCCTAACGCCAAGCTTACACCTATTTTACTCTCTCTCACGACATCAACGGCCTGTCAGTGGTGTTTTACGCTCTCACTATTTCAGAGGTACAAATCGCTGGCGTTAGAAAACTCACCGTGGAATCCTTTCCGCCATTGAAGCTGAAAGCGACGTCCCGCAGCCTGCGGAGCAAAAGCACATTCAGATGCAGCGCGACACCAGCAAATTAGAATCAAATTACGGAAATAACGAAATGGATACATCACAAGGGCCAAACCGCGTGTACGGTGTGCAGACGAGACAAAGAGGGTGGAGATAGCTCGTTGGCATGACAACAGCCCTAGGGCTTTGGCATAGCTCGCTCCGCTTCGTACCCGTATACGGCAAGCGCCTTAGTGATAATCTTAAGCGATTCCGCCACGCGGTTCTTGAGCTCGTTCGTTCCAGCGCGATCAACGGTTCGGACAATTTCCATTGCATCCAAGATCGGAACCACGGATAAAGGAGACTGTGCACCCGCTGCAACGAGCGATTCACGTCGATCAGTGACAGACAAACAACACCTAAGCATCAATAAACAAGTCTCTTTTAGGTACTTGCGGTGTTGACAGCGCAGGATAGTGAGATAGCGAGTCTGAAGCAAGCAAGCCTAGTGCAAGGGAAATTGGAGACGAGCGAGTGCTGCGGTAGAAAACTGCAACCCTATCTGCCACAGTCGAGTGAAGATGGCAACACAGTGGCAGGGGCACGCTTTGGCTGCTGCAGCTGCAGGGTTGTGTGTGTGAGGATGAGCACGAGCGCTCTTGACGGGTGGGTCAGCCAGTGAAGTCCCCGACAGCACCGCACCTGCCACACACGGGCTGATGAATGTGGGGAAGTGTAGAGGATATGGCTGAACGCTGTTTGCGAAGTAGCGAATTCACAGACAGTGTACGCGAAAGCTTCAAGTTACTAAAATTCAAAATCTCATGTAAAAAGTTCACTCTATCACGCAATTTAGCATCACCCTCCCTACCATGTATTGGAAGCGTTCATTCAACAACACACTCAATGATTCGTTTATAAGTTTATAATTTCTCATCAAGCATTGCCTGCACATCCAAATACGTTTTTTTATTATATTTGTTTGCTATATAAATTAACCCAGTTCCTTCTCTAATCATTGATGTGTTTCGTTCAAATCTCTTCATCCCTCTTGTTACGATATGAAGTTTTATGAGAAGGCATTCCTGTATGCTGCAGGAGCCGACTCTACCGAGTACGAAGTCGAGGAGTCAGAAGAGTCGAAGCGACGTAGCAACCGCCTGACCAAGACCGATGCTGGCAGAAACATTTGAAGTGAAAAGAGCGGGAACAGGTTTGAAACGGGTTCCCGCGCCGCACGGTTTGAATTCGGTTGTAATAAGGGAATGTACCCCTTAGAGTACATGGCTAGTCTAGGTCTTTTCGTATTCCCCTGTATTCTTATATAAACTCGATGTATGCATGCTATTATCAACTCAGTCATTTACATTCACTCTGACCTGAGATTCAAACTTCCGCTGCAACACTACTCTGCGATCAACCCTGAGCGATCCTTTGCTAAGTCCCACTTGGGATTGTAACATGGTATGAGAGCTACTCAGGGATTCTTCGCATCATCACTTCCTTGAAATTCGCCGAACCAAGATCTGGCGAGCGGCACACGCTCCAAGACCAAGATGGCCGGAGGATCCGGAGGCCAAGCAAATCTGACGGCTGAAGGACAATCCAATCCGGCTGCGACAAATGAGGCGACAACCACGATTGGCACTGCCGCCCTCGAGCAACTTTTTTCGCTCGACTTTCAACTATGGAGAAAGAGCTCCAAGACCTGCGCAAAGGCGATGCGGGAACCTCTTCCCAACCAGGACAACCTGGACAACCGGCTGAGAAAAGCCGTGATACCGCAGCGCACACCTTCTCCCTCGACACAGACAAATCAACAACAACTGCCCCCCGTCCAAGTGATGAAGCCATCAACTCTGCGCAAACACGCTTCCTCAGCGTTTCAAAAATCAAAAATACTGCCGCGTTTGACGGCAAGGACTTCTACACATGGAGTTTCGAGCTTGAGCTCCTCCTACAAACGGCGCAGATCTACCATTACTTCGACGGCTCCTATCCTAAACCGGTGGAAAACACCGAAGTTGCCAGGGCTCAATACTACAGTGAGTCCCTCATGGCCTACAGTGTGCTGCTACGCAACATGACGCCTGCGGAACAACTCAACATTCGCTCCTACAAAGAGAGCGACGCTCCAGCCTTGGAAGGCGAGGCGCTCTCGGCGCGGCGCGGAGCTTGTTCTGCTCGAGTCCATGTCCTGCTGTTCGGACAGGAGTGCGGCGCATAGCGCGGCTTCTGAGATTGTTCCTCGCTGTCGGAGTAATGCCTTACAGGGCTTCCACTCTGGCCCGAGTCCTTGGAGGACTATGTTGACGAAGATCTCTTCCGAGATCGTACTCCCATGCTTCGTGATCTGGTCACGGATGTTACGACAGCGGTTAATATAAGGGTTCGCTTTCTCCCCGTGCCCCATTTTTATCTCCAGGAGTTGCTGCAGAAGCCTGCTGGCGGTGACCATTATTGCAAAATATGCAAAGTCTTCGGACACTCAACGGATCGATGCAAGTCCCGATCCAACTATCGCCACCCAAATTCCACTCACCACAACAACTGGGTCGGCCGACAAGATGCTCGTCATCCCCAGTCTCAGCAACAGACACCTCGTCCTCCTGCGCAACACCAACATCAGTAAGGATCTCAAGGACCTCCATCAGGAGCCCCCAGAAACATCATCGCGAACATGACGACGCGCCGACGTCGCTCTGATGAACCCGACGAGGAAGACAAAATTCAAGGAAGACTCCTTGAACCAGAAGAGGGATGGAACAACCCCCTCACTGAAGATTACTACTACCAGTATGACGAAGACAAGCAGGATTGGAACCTGCCAATCACTTTGCGGGAAAGCCCGCCGCACGACAATCAACACTACGTACCGGTGGGATGGAAGGAGGACGAAGACCCTCTCTTCCGCAGTCGCTACAAGGCAACCCTGGTGACTCCGCGATTGGCGCTACTTTTGCGCCGGAGCAATACCGACAACTACAACACCTGGTACCTGGACAGCTGCTGCGGACAGCACATGGTGGGGACTATGCGCTACGTCTCAAATCTGAGCCGCGCCCCCCCAACTTACGTTACCGTCGCCAACAACGAGCAGCTGCGCGCCAACTCACAAGGCATTGTCGTTCTGCAAGCATGAGACAGCAACACACACATCTCATTCAACGACGTGCTCTACGTTCCGAATCTCCGCTTCAATCTGCTCTCAGCCGGACAACTTCGTGACTACGGCGTCATACTCACCACCGACCTCGCCACTCGCAATCTCATACTCACGTACGCCCCGCCGGATACCCCCCCCGAATCGTTCAAGTATCTCGGGCGAGCCCGCTCGATCAACGGGATCTATGTCTTGGACTTCGACGTACCTTCCTGCCAAGCTTCATCCGACGAGCTCGTGGACCTCGTTCCCCTCGAATTTGCCTACACAAGCAAATGGGAGCACCCAGACGGACGACCATGGATTCGCCGCAGTCCTCATCCCCGCGAGATTAATCTGCACGACCCCGATATCAACGGTCTCTGCACCACCTGCCACACGCCCACCGCGAGTCGCACGGAGCAAGTCGAAAGAGAGCAAGCGGCAATTCAGGAAGCAGAGAGCGCCGAGGTGGAACCTACGGGCATGACACAAGAGGAGCTTGCAGTAACAACTCACCGTATTTTTGGTGAACCAAACGACGACTTCGGGAAGCTTCGTGCCGAACGACCAACACCATATGCAGAAACGCTCCGGTTCGTCCTAGAAGCCAACACCACTACCTTCGACGACGATGGACGACCTCGTCCCTACACCCGCGAAGTTTACCGCCGCGAAATTGACCCGGCTTGGAAAGATCCTGACGCACCAGAGGAGCTCAGCGTCAAGGAAGAAGAGGACAAGGCCCGGGCGGAAAAGAAACAGAAGTTGTATGAGGAGCGCATTGCGGCAGGCTGGGACGAACAGTCTGCACGCGGAGGATGGGGCGACGAGGACACCAACCCAGAACACGGAGCAACCTGGGGATCCGCCACTGGAGCATGGGGAGCCAGTGCCAGCGGTACGGTCAACACGGAAGGGTGGGGAAACACCGGCGAATGGGGAGGAAACGAATACATGGATGCGCCAATCACAAAGGAAGAAGAAGAAGAGATGGAACGCGAGATGCAAGCTGAGCGTGGAGAACCATCCCCTCGCGTCGCCATTCCACTCGGTCGTCCCCCGCGCACCCGCTCACCTCCTTCCTCGCCCCATCGATGGCGTGATCGTTGGTCGGAGATTGAGGAGGGGAATATACCACCAACTCCTCTGCGGGACTCACTTGGTCCAATCTCTCGCCCAGATCCGTTTGCTCGCTTCATCGAAGGCACCACGACCCCGCTCACTATCATCCCCGACCGCGAATTCCTCGCGCTCTATCTCACAACGGCACCTGCAGAAGGGGAGGCAACGGCAGAAGCAGAAGCAGAGGAGCCGGCCAGCGAAGCAGAACCAGGAGAAGAGGAAGAACCCCCACTCCAGATCCCGCAACTCACGGCGGAAGAAGAAGCAGAGCATCACACCCGCTACAAGCGCACTTCCGGCATCCGCGCCGAAGATGATCTCTGGCACCAGCGGATGGGACACCCCTCGCGCCAGACCCTCGCCAACTGCCTCCGCGCCAAAGTTTTTCCGCCAGGAGCACTGCTGCGCCCCGACGGAACGGAGTTACAGCACACCACCCCCCATCCAACCACTTGCACTGTCTGTCCCACAGCTGCGCTCTCTCACAGCGCCTATCCCTCCCTGGAGCCGAGTACCAACCGCTACAAAAAGCTGGAGAAAGTTTACAGCGATTTCATCGTACTCACCCACGACGGCATCAACGGCGAGAAGTATACTCTCACCTTCATCGATGCTTACTCACGCCACGTGTGGATCGCCAACGTTGACGCCCGTTCCAAGGCTCCGGAGGTATTCCGCATCTTCCTCGCGCACGCGCAGCGACAGTCGGGGAGGAAACTGAAGATCTGGCAGAGTGATGGGGCAAAGGAATTTCGCAGCAATGAGCTGGAGAGTGTCCTCGCCGAGAAGGGGATTAAACACGAGATTTCTCTCCCCTATGCTCACCAGCAGCAAGGCGTCGCCGAGAGGGTCAATCGCACGCTCATGACCAAAGTCCGCGCCATCATGAACCAGTCCGGCCTACCAAAGAAGTTATGGCCTTACGCCATGAACCACGCGGTGCGCCTGCACAACCTCCTCTCCACCACCGCCAACAGGGATAACCTGTCCCCTCACATGAAGTGGACCGGCTCAAGGGGAGACCCCTCCATGCTGAGGGTTTGGGGGTGCATGGTGCAATATCG